TTGCAATTAAACAAAACGTTGTTGTATTCGCATTTAGTTTGTATTAAAACGTCATGTTAATTGTATTGCAATAATTGAAAAATTGATATTTATCATCATTGCTTATTACATAACAAACGATATCAAATATTCTGTAAAATGTTTGATATTTAGACTTTTGACAAAACATCGTAGCATGCATATTTAGGCGTCCCGAAGAATATTGAATTGATAAATTAATCTCTTCATCACCTTCTCTCGGTGATGGTTCCTGAACGTTCGGACTGTTCCTACTATCACAATGCATACCCAAAAGTTTTAAATAATCTACTCAATGAAACAGATGATTTCTAAACGGATCCAGACAGGAAAACTTCAATCTACAAACGTGGCCAATCCTTTGAGGGTTATCTTGCAGGAAACTCGTATTTAATTCATTATTAAAGACATTCCCTGTGGCGGTTGTTCAATTTCTATAAAAGATATACTATTCCGCAAAAATACATCAAGATACACTAAAATAAGTACGGAATGTTTATATTAATAACTAATTATTGTGTGAAAAGCATCAAAAGGACGCTACATAATAGGATAATCTTTGATCCTTATAACAAACACGGATATAACGAATCGATTGTATTCCGTCCATACTGACTAATTTAAATGTCATTGTCACGCCGGAAGTCCCGTTTTACAATTTATGGATTATGCAAGGCTTCATCAATGGGAATGTATTGCTGACTGCGTTATTGTAGAAAACAATTGAGAGTGTCAGTATTTATAAATCATAAAAATCAAAGTTAGAGATCAATTACGTGTTAATATTTGTTAGTTTGAAGGAGCTCCGCAATCTATATAAAATGATTTTCCGGAAAACTGATGTACAAATATACTGATATGACTGACAGCTCACATGTATTTCATATTCGCACTAAGACCTATATCTATATACAGTGTTGTGTTTCGTAAGCTAAAATGTGTTTCATAAGGTGAATAGCTATGTAATTTCATCCCGCATTCAAATGGGAGACACCATGAAATATTAACAGCCTGAAGCCAACCGTCCCTTTCAAACTGTATATACGCAGGAATATGTACGACATTTACATTGACAGGGAAGGTATTTTATATCTTCTTTAGCTCCGGGAATACGGGCATACGAGTTACAAAAGGGCATGATTTAATATCCGTTTTGCTCTTGTTTCTGGTAGCCATTAACGTCAGTTTTCACATCTGATTTACATGATGGCAAACTTATGGCTCAACGTATCCCATTAGATGTGGTACATGAATGTGGGGAGTACGTTTATGGAAAATACGTTTGTCTTACCAGGATAAATTACCTGGTGTCTAGTCGAGTAATATACTAGCCACTCCTGCCTTTGGTGTCTTCATTTCACAGCTTTTTACTACAATCGAGCATGCTCTTTCGATGACGATTCAAAGAGCATCACTCGACTCTTACTCAAAAGTTGTTTGATCATGGTTACAGTATTCAAGGACGTAATATGGTTTTCGTATTTTTGTGCTAGACATTTGGGGTCAGATGAACACTTGCCTTGCCTTTGCATGTGTTTGTGACGGGTTTCACTCGTGTGGCAGGATAAGCTCATCTTTTTGCGGACACTTGGTGTTATTACTATTTGATAGTGATTCAGAAACATATGCCTACATAGTCGGAATCGTACAATGGACTCTCCTTCAGCACATATACCTTACGGTTATATAATATAAGTTGTAGCAGTATCTACCTCGTAGTATAAAATCTGACGCGGGACGCATAAAACCACGTATACCCTGAATGATACTGCTACAACGATTTTATGTTGCCGACATGTTTCAATCTGCCAATGTAAAAGAATAAAAAAAGATTGAAAATTGATAGAAAACAGCTGTTGGATTGAGCTGCGATTAACGTGTGCTGTGTCATGTGACTTTTATTTACTCGTATACAACGCGCAGCATTGCTTCGTAGCGGGGTTTTGTAGCGGGATTTATTCTTCCGCTCAGAAATCCACGTGCGGCCTGTTTTCTTCCTAGCGGGATACAATGACGTATACCCCGGTTTAGAAATGTATTTCCCTCCCAGCCGGGATACGTGGTATTTTATCAAGATCACTTGAACCAATCAGATTCTGAAATTGAGGTAAGATGAAGAGTTTTGTCACTTTTATCAAGTGATTTCATGGAACTATATGAGGAATCACAACCCGAAGTGAAGAGCGAACGAGCTGACCACAAGGTCCCTCGCCCGTAGATGTCCTTTCATGAAACAACTGTGTGGCGTTAGGCAACATTTACTTTGGGCGCTACCGGTACTGTAGAGCACGTCTACCCTTTTCGCGAACACCTGGTGTCTTCACTGATTTTCAGTGATCCATTCATATAATTTTCATCACTATTTTGCCTTTTACGCCCAATTACAAAAAATCGAGATTATTCTCTGTTTCATATTGCAACGGACTTGGACGTTGAGGAATAAGGTTATGAAGCCAGGATAGGTTAAAACTACATCGATGCATTTTTCCGGGACTTTTATTAAAGGACGCACACCTTGTTTTTCACAAAACCTTATTATGGATTGATATTTACACAATTCCCCTAAAGCAAACCTCATATACAACTGACCTTTTATACAGCTTAAGAGTTATTGTTTGTAGCCTCTGGATAAGGCACGCTTATTGATTCAAATAATGATTCTTGTCTCTGCATATTTGTAACATTTAGGCAAAGAAAGAAGTGATTATCTATCAATTCTTGTAGTTCTTGATGAGATGCTGATTTCTGATTTACATTTTTCAACTCACTCAAGACGTTTTAATGTTTTGCTTCAACAAAGAGATTTTTAAACATAATTAAAAGACTTTGAATATCATGGAGAAAAATTCATGATAAGAATATTTAGTCGCAATGGCTTTACAGCATCCTTTATATTATAATCATTTTTACCGCTCTCCAGGATAAACATTGCTCGACGGGAGTCAATATGTTCTTTCGCATTCAAATATGCAAGACAACTAATAATTTAAAAATTAAACCGCCGGGGCCTTTAGGTGCTGTGGTATATTTCGAGTAAAATTAGGAACTCTTTGAATCCATCTTGTTTGTTTGCTGTTTAACGACACAATCAACAATATTCCGTCTACATGACGGTGCCTGTAAATGACTGAATCTGGACCAGACAAACCAGTGATTGATATATGGAGAGCGCCTCACGCGGACGGGGAGCGATGACACGCAATCAACTAGGTAACCAAGCCAGACCACCCGGACTAGATACTTGCACCTTACCACACGCAATGGTGTGCCCGGGACCTTCTCTAACCTGAAATCTGCACGGAAGGAACACCATCTTCACTTGCTGGTCCACTGTATCACTTAGTATCAACCCGACAAATAGATGTGTGCCTTTTTGGATTTTGCTGATAGATGGTAAGGTCGTTCCCAAATATAGTTTAATATTGGGGGTTCAATGTTATACTGATACGTATTTAGAAGCTACCGTGTTGGACATTTATCTCACCATACTACCGTCAGAAATTGCGTGTCAAAATAGTTGCAAACTAAATCTTCACACCGTGTGTAAATTCTTTGAAGGCCATGTTACGAGTAGGCGTGGGACATGGTGTCATTCTACCCGAGTGGCAATAGGTCTGTACAAATGTTCCCTGGCTAACACGAGAGCTTTTCAACGATTAATCCATACATACGTGACAGTTTGTACATTATTTCACGGGTTAATGAAGGCACTATACCTTTGTGAACTCAGATGTTGAAACTAACGTCCAAGCGTTGGCGTGCCAGAGGCGGCTTTTAGCACCTCCATTGTTGTGTATTTAGATGCACCAAGACACCATTATTATATATACCACAACATTTACAGCTTCAATTTATACGGAACGTCCTTAAAGATGGCAAATATTATCTACAGGGTTTTCGAAACAAGGTTGTAATATTCATCTGTGTAGGGAATTTACGGAGGCATTGTCTGGAAACAAATATATATTCTAAAATGTTTATCGAAAGGTTTTTCGCAAATAGTAAGAGTATTCATATACAAGAAGTATAACTTCATAGCTAATGTTTTATTCTGCAAATCATTTTCTTATATTTTTTAGAAGAAACGTATTCAGACTTGTAGATAGGTTTAGCTGCGCAGTGTTTTATGTCCTTTTTGTTTTACTTTCATTTCTGAGAGTAATTATGGTTAAATGAGATCAACAAGTAGAAACAACATGTGTCGGCGGTTCTCATATATTTCAATTCATTTGGAAGCAAAGGAAATATCTATAAATTGTATGTATATTACGAGAGATAAATTATAACCGTTTCATTGCAGCTTAATTAAGCAAGGAATGTGCACCGGAAAGAAATATTCTATCTGGTTAGCAATTGATGTACCCGAGATTTGTCAAAATCATAAGAAATTAATTCAAACTGATGTGTAATTAATGACTGTGCATAGTGATAAAATACTGAAATGTTGTGTGAATGCCTGTTTATTCCCACATGTTATCCAGATGGAAATGCAAGCTTAACCCTCCGTGCTTTTTGCTGTATGGATTTCATTTCAAATCAAGAGGTGGCGCAGAAAAGCATTGAAAATATCGTAAAGTGCAATGAACTGCAAACGCAGCAATATTTATCGGAGATTCACAACATCACATGTTTTAGATGATCAATCAACGTACATTTGTTGATACTAATGGAATTGGGGTCTAACGTAAATTTTATATGTGTAATATTAATCTCACGTAAGTTTGACTATCTGTGTTTTAAACAATGTGTCTCCTGAAAATCTTATGTGTATAAGAAAGCTTTCATATAACTTGATATGGCAAATAACGCTAACTTTTTAAAGTTAGCTCTTACGCCATTATCACCGGCAACAGGCGCAGTAATTTTTTAATATTTTTACATGCCCTTGACGGTGTTGAATATACTTCAAAACTATATTTAACTTTTAAAGAAAGAACTTCCTTGGAGTTAATGAATTGGAATGTGTTTGAGTTTATTCTTACCTCCTCCATTTTTGTAGCATATATAGGGAAACCTCCAGACATTCCCAAGATCCACTGCAAATCCAATGACTGAAAGTAGAAACTCGGTCTTCTTCCCCCATGATTCTCGCTCATGTTCAGATTTTGGTTTTTCAATTATTTTAGTTGTTCCATCCACCATGGGCAAGCCTGGGCTGGGAGTCATAGTGTCCGGTGCGTACAGCCAACGCCCAACAATCAATATTAGTCCCTTTCCCGCGCTTTCTCACTGTCGTCTGCTGGCCACACAGAAAGTCGTCTGCCAAGAGTTTCCGAACTCAATTTGGGAACCCATGAAAATGCATGTACCGGCGTGATCGATCCCAACAATGTAATGGTACGCTTAATTACAATGTGGCAGTGCGGTCTGTACAGCTGCCTTCCAGCAATAGGTGGATTCTTCACAAGATATCATATCCCTACCAGTATCGAAGAACCATATTTTATGTATCGTCTTCTGATGGCGGCTTTGTGAGCTAGTAATCGATCAACCATCAAGATAAGTTCCAGAAATGTTTGCGTTGTTTGTCAACCCCTTCCCGTCACCAGATCACCTTCAATAATTTGCCCAATAGAACGGGATGCTTTTTTATCCGCAAGCCACCAATAACAGATGCTAATGCACGCGGTTGGACAGCCAGTCGATGTCTAGAGGACCACGATCTGCCACAAGCTCGCTGTCGCCTCTGCATGGTCCGCTGCCCTTAATGAGAACTTCCAAATCGGAGGGAAGTTTGTTGCCCTTTCCGCGAGCAATGTTAGGTTTACAATGAATGCGTGAACTGGTGGTATTTAGTGAGTGTTCTTTCTTGCCAATCCGGATCGAATGAGTTACACTACCACGGCAAGATTGTATGACTTATTGTATGGTCGGGACATGCTTCTAGCAGTATTCCACTTCATCAGCAGACACATGCGGCTAAATATGGCACATACATGTTTTGACCAGGCAGTCTTTTTATACTTAATGTATCCTCTTTTCATGTGGGGTTTTAGAGGTAGAATTAACTCTTACACGTTTGTCGCAACATAGTGGAAAACCTTCTCATATAACGGAGCCTGGAGTGATTCTTGGGCAAATACTGTTCCTAAGAATAAATGACTGTCATACGAGCCGATTAAGTTTGGAATTGGATGATGACAATGTCTGAACTGGCTGACTTGTTTGATTGACATATTAAGAAGTTAGTAATTAGCGGTAAAGTTATTTTGTGGATCACAACTTTTTTATTCTATTAAGATGCGACGCTTCGGTACAGACCCTTACACGCATCGTAACAGAATAAAGAAGTTGTCATCCATAAAATATCTTGCATTTACTGTTTGAACTTGCTGATTCATTTTTTAAAGAATACAAAAGTTGAAATCCCTCTACCAACTTCTTGGCGGTGGGCTTGTCTTGTGGTTAAGGGGTTCGCTCGTCACGCCGAAGCCCCGGGTTCGATTCCTAACATGAGTACAATATGTGAAGCCCATTTCTGGTGCCCCCCGCCGTGATATTGCTGGAATATTGCTAATATTGTTACTCACCCGATCTACTAACTTCTTATGCATACCAAAGTCCTATTAGGTATGTGGGGGTGCCTATATTTTGGCATTTTGACTTTTGCAATAGTGAGTGAGTGAGTTGGGTTTAACGCCGCTTTTAACAGTATTCCAGTTCTCTCACGGCGTTTCAGCTTAATGTGGGAGGAACGCCCGAAGTGATGCAGGAATTAGACGTTAACCATTTCGGTGAAACTCACGAGCACGGGTATGGTGCTGACAAACCTAGAAACAAAATCGGGGCGAACCTGGATTCGAACCCACTATCATAGGCATCTGGCTTGTCCAAGGGACGCAACTCTACAACCACTGTGCGATACCATTAAATAGTTGTACCATAAACACAATTATAGTATTCTGAGCATTCTTCTTACAATGCAAACTTCATAGCCATGGTAACAAACCTCAATTGGGAACTAGGATCTTAAGGAAGGTAGCACTTATAGTTTGGTGTAGATGTAACGCATGAATATCTTCTGACTAAAAGCAAACAGGAAAGGATTAACAAGGCTTGATGATAAAACGTAGTTTTAAATGTTTCGACACCCATCGAAATGGTCCATGGTCAGGCTGATATTGATAACAAATATCATCGATCATCATCTATTGCCATCGGCCCATAGACATCGCATCGATGGGACTATCAATCGTTACACCCTTTGTGGTGAGGAGGTGGGACCAGCTGTCTTCAAGGGCTTTGAAGCATAAACAGTGGGTGGAAAGACGTCATTTCGGTGGGTGAATTCTTAGATGTGACCCGGTCTCTAAAATGTGTCATCCTACCCCGTTGGTTACATAGATGTTCACGCTATCGGCCACTAGTTTTGCCACAAATCCGATAGGGTAATACCACAATAAGGTATAATAACCCGCCAGGTGGCGGACGTGTACTAGCGCTGATGTTCAGTAGCCGAACAAGCTCACGTGGCGGCTGTGCATAAAACGTTGTCGGTGCGAGTGTTGAAATGGTAACTGATTCGACGACAGGGAGCCCTCACTGAATCTCACTTTAAGTGGTACTTGCAGTTAATAATTTTATCGAAAAAACGTTCAGTCACTTGTTAAAATGAAACTATTTGAAACCTGAAAATCACGACCCTCGAACTAAAAGCTGTTTAAAGCCAATATTACCGATATTACTAAAATATATTTATATATTGTTGTTTCACTAAGAAAAGGTTAATTAATGAAAACATGTGCATAAACCAGTCATTTGCCCTTGGAAATACGTACGATGCAATGACGTTACTTTTAGAATATTCACCTGCGAACGACGAGATATACTTTTTAGGTTCTGCATTGAAAACAAAATATATCCGTTCCAAAATGAGACACTCATCTCTGACTGGTAGTTGTGACCATGTTCGCTGTGTGCAGTGACTGTATGTATTATCACTTTCAAGACAATCACTAACGGGATTTCGGGGTTTTATTAATATTTGCTACAAATATATCACTTAGGCCCTCCACGTCTTTTCCTAAGCATTGGCTTGTTAAAATGACTGTGTGACTGTATGACAGGGGTGTCTTCAGCTTTTCCATGGCCCATTCCCTCTATCTCGAGCAGTATTCCACCAGTTGAAGCCTTTGGTGTCTACATTTCACATCTGCTTTCAAAGCGCCTCAGCATCAGTGGCAAAAACGATGCCCGATGCAATGCCATATTTTGACTTGTACCATATGTTGTTTTCAAGTAAACAACTGACTTTTTAACGTTTGACTTACCTTTGCATGTGTTTGTGACGTTTGTTACGGTAGGCCGGATACGCTCACCTTTTTCGCGAACACCTGGTATTATCACTGTTTGATAATGATTTATGAACACGTGCGCATGATACAGTCGGAATCGTTCAATCGATTCGATTGTTTTGGGCAGAGATGTTTATGAATATGGAAAGGGTTTGGTGGCTATATTCCAAGCAGTGGCATGTGAAAATGACTGTGTGACTGTCTGACAAGAGGGACTTCAACTTCCGAATGGTCAACCTTCCCTATATGTCAAGCAATATTCCAGGAGCTCTAGCCTTTGTTGTCTACATTTCACAACTGTTTAGGCTCAGGCGAGCCTGCTTTCAAATAGGGTAAACGTAAAGTCGTATTGTGATAGCATCAGTGAAAAAATGATGTCCGATGCAATTCCTTAATTTGACTTGTAACTATGTTCCTGTTTTTGCTTAGGTGAACACTTGACTTCTTTACATGTGTTTGTGGCGGATGCCATCGATGGAGCTGGATACGCAAATCTAATCTAACTATTTGATCGTAATTCATAAACACGCGCTTATGATATCGTCGGAAACGGACAATGGGTCTATTTTTCTCTGCAGAGTTTTCATGATTATCGAAAGGTCGGCAAGTCGGCACGGAGTCAGTTTACTACGCCTGAGTATCTACGGCATGGTATCTCAGTGGGCTAGCACTATGCAAATGACATTTGTCCGGACTAGTGCAAGCAGCCACACTCTCACACACACACACACACACACGCACGCACGTACGCACGCACGCACGCACGCACGCACACACGCACGCACACACACACACACACACGCACGTGTGTGCAGTAATCTTGGACGCGACGTTAAACCCCATTTCACATCCACTCATGCTTCAATACCAGATACTGATATATTCAATGTAGTATAACTGTCCAACTCTCCGTCTCCATCATGTTCATAGTTTTGATGTAATCTTACACATGATTATATTAAATTCGATGAACCTACCAACATAGGTTCCAGTAACCTTCACATAACAAAAATAACTCATCAATTGACAAACGAAATTGAATTGTTAAACTCTGACATCATAATGATGTTCATGAGTAAACAATTAACGTATAATGACTCGTTATGTGCAGGACTTATGTGCATAGTATTGCACATATATTTGTGACACAGCTGGGGACATGCAAACTAATTAGACCTTCACGATCGGGGGAAGGATATAGATCAGCAGTGATTGTAGAACAAGGCTAGATCACATGCTGGACCATGTACCAGGTTGCCCTTCATGTCCTGCCTCTCATTCATTGTCATCCGCTCATCGTTTCATATCAGTGTTCTATATGTCTCCACTGGAGAGTACTGATCGTTTCATCAGAAAGTCATATCAAGCTGCAACGCTCGAAAAAACTGACATACGTTTAAAAACAACCTTAATCTTAACTTATTCACAATAATGCGTGAGTGAGTTGAGATTAACGCACGTGAAGATCCTGGTTAGAATAGGTCTTCAGCAACCCATGCTTGTCAAAAGGGGCGACTAACGGGATCGGGTGGTCAGGCTCGTTGACTTGATTGATGCATGTCATCGTATCCCAACTGCGTGGATCGATGCTTATGATATCAATCACTGGATTGTCTGGTCCATACTCGATTGCTTACAGAACGCCGCCATATAGATAGAGTATTGCTCGCGTCAAACAATAACAAAAACAAAAACGTATATGTCGGCACTTCGGGGTACTGGGACCTTTTCTTCCCCACAGACAAGGCGTGAGACATTAATATCTTGCCTACATGCATTCGAGAGTCAGAAAAAAACACACGTATCCGTGCTGTTGTAAAAGTCAATGAAAAAAAGGATGATTACACTATGTGTGACCTGAGCTGTTGTGTGTTCTCTGATGTGGATCCTTTCCTATGTTCTTAACCTCTGGTTTCAGGCTTTCCCTGAAACACCATTTTACTCATTCACCCCTAAACTCGTTTCAGGCATAGCAACTGTGCCTTTGATTCACTGAACCAACCTAACAACCATCCATCGAATCAATGTTTATTGTTTCAACTGGCCCATAATCTATACAATCATAACAGTAAAAATATGAAGCACATACGCATCTACAACGTATCACCATGAGGCACTATATAAATACTTCCTTACGTGAATAATGTATCAGTGTTTTCAATTACAAATAATGACTTCAAACAGGGTACAGCCTTAAAAAAATATTACCTGATATAATTACGTCACGAGTTCGTACTTCTTCATGTAATGGAGAATGAAAATTAACGTGTTTCATCTTC